ATATTATTTTAAAGATAGTCAGATATTAGCACCTGTAATTAGACTTGGTGTAAATATCCAAAACAGTTAACCAAAGGTGATGTTAATGACATACTGAATTTCTCTGCTCAAAATGTCTTCCTCCATATCTATAACTTCTGTTTGCATTCTCTATATTCTTCTATAACTGTGTTGTGCTGATTGGGACCTGTATTGGTGGAGCAGTCTGTAACATGTAATCCTGCCTTGGGTCCTTCTACATGGACTTTGCATGTCTTCCATGTGCATGTATGGTATCTTTCTGGGTACACTGGCTTCTCTCACAAAGCAAAAAATCATTAAGTCAACGATTAAACTATAAAGTCAAGTGAGGGCTCTAAATTGCCCTTGGGTGAGAGCATGAGTGTGAATGTTTGTGTTTTTCAGTGCAGCTCTGTTAGTCTGTCCAGGGTGTACCCCACCTTTCATCCATAGATTAGTTAAGTCACTATCCCACTGTGATCCTGATGTATAACTGCCTTCAGAGTGTTTTCTTGTCAGACATACAAAAAAACAGCTTTCTTTTATTTTGAGCTTGTTTTTAAAGTAGAGATTTAAATCGATTTTGAATTCAGTTTGTGTGTGTATGCATTAAAGGTAAATTCTCAGTGAGTGGTGAAAAGTCTTCACACTACGTTAAGGAAAAGCGAGAAGTGTGAATTATAATACCAGCAGAAATGCTGAGGCTTAATGATAAACCCCACGGTTTTACCTTCTATATCAACACCCTGCTGCCTCTCACCCCTCATCTACTAAAGATTTATGTGTTAAGCATTCAGCTCCCAGCTATGTACACAAACTAACAGTGTGTCGAATGTCTCAATGTTGCCTTTAAAGCATTCTGTTATGGCCATATCAGTGTAATAGAGCCCTACATGCTGAGATGAAAAGACTTTTCAAGCATGGCTAAATGCTTCTATTCCTGCAGCAGGCGGTGTGGACGGAGGTGGGGGGTGTAACAATAGCTGGGCATTTAGGCTGCCTTGAACTGATGGGTTAGTCAGGCGACTGATGTATTCTGACAGGCACAGACAAGCAAGAGAATTGTACAATTTATCAAAAAAGCGATGTCTTTCCCCCAGTCAATTCCAGACAAGCATGTCTATAGCTGAGAAAGGGCAGGTATCAGGCAACTGTCTGAGGTCCTGAAATCCAAATCTAGGAGGTGATATGGTTACATCCATGCAGATATAAACAGATTAGTTTTAATACAGCTATGTCCTTCTTTTTGGTTGTAGTCATTGTCTTTAACTATTTCACATGTTTCCCTTCTTTGTTCCATTATTTCTCCACCTTTTTTTTCCACAGTTTATCAATCCTCCAGACACTATCTGTGTTCTACAGGCCTGCATTAAGCTACCCTAGTTTCTGCTAATTTTCATTACAGGCTGCAGGTAGCACCAAGTGCTGCTGTACAAGATACATATCAGGGAAATGGGCTCACTTGACCTTTTTAACTTTGTATTTATTCCTTACAAAAAGCCATAAGGGAATAATACCAACTTTCATGCAAAATTCATTAAATAGATGGAATGCCAGATGGACGACATACTTAACTCGGAAACTTACATTAAAAATGCAAAAATATGATGTGAAATGATCACTTTAAAAGATGAGGAAAGAACTTGTGCTTCCAAGAAATTGACTCAGATAAAGGGGTTCCAGGAAACAAGCATTCTAATTACATTATTAAATAGTAAATGCTGTAGAGGGGCTTGGTTTTCAGAGCTGTGAAAAAAAAAAAAATACCAGGAATACAGGCTAATAAATTAATCTTTTAATGCAGTTGCATAATCCTTCTTTAAAGTGTTAGGAAAAATGTAACTTTCCAATTGAGAGCCTCTTATTCTGTCATCTATGTAGCTAAGCCCACCGGCTTTCTGATGTGACCATAAAGTCCAGTGGGGTATTTCTGTGCTGACTTGGTAAAATGTTCTCTAACATTATCCTACAGAACAAAGTAATGAGCATTAAGGTTTGATTTTCTGGTAGAGGTGAAAAATCTTAATGGTGCCGTGTGCATAGCAGGTCCTAGAGCCTTTGGATAAGAAATAACCCGACAGAGCTCCTATGATACTTAACTCTAGACATTAGATGATTTCCCACCTTTATTTCACAGAAAACCCACCAGGAGCAAAGCTTAAATTTTTACCTGATGTAACCAAACCACTCAGTTACACCTAAAGTCCGAGTGGACTCCAGGAGTCCAAGAGTTTATTTTGACAGCAAAGGTTTCTCCATACAGGACATACAACAATCGGTGGGTATTTAGATAGGGTCTAAAAGTTGTTTATTTTCGTATCAATAAAATGCCATTTTTAAGCACAATTATACTCACCGCTTGTAATGAAGGAAAAAAAAAATTGACATATGGCCATTATCCAGGGGAAATGGCCCCCTGTGTCAGGTTATATTTATAAGTTATTTTACTAATTGGACATTTCTTTAACTCTGATCAACTAAGTTGAGTACACAAAGTAAATTTGTTATTGTTGGAGACTTTCAATTTCTTTTAAATGAGGATTCAAAAATGTTAAGATTGAGCTGCTTGCGTTCATTTGTTCATTTTCTTGTCTTACAATCTCCTATTTAAAGTTTTCCTATGATGGTTTCTTTATGTTTCTTTGTGTTCGTTCGATTTTATCACAAAGCAGATAATTTACCCAGTAAATGCAACTTAGAGAGCTTTATAGAAGATAAATGCATGTTTTTCTAGCATTTTGCAGAGTCTTTTATTTATGTGTGCACTAAGCTTTACATGTTCAGTAAAAGTAATACATTTAGCTCAGTTTTTCATCTTTGTGTGCTAAATGTTATATTATTTAAAGTGAAAGGGAGATAAGGAGATCAGAGGTTGCATCGTATGCCCTTCAGTGCTGATTCATAAAAAACTATAAAATATATATATAGCAAACTGGAAGAAAAAATCTTCCAATCACTTTTTCCATAATCTCTCCGCCTGCCTTAACAAGGAGCAGGGACACTTTAAATTGCAGAAATATTAGGAGTTAAAATTACAAATATTTTCATTATGTTTTGGTTTGTTAATAGATATTTAGTAAAATGTAGATTGTCATTGAGAACGACAATGTGAGTGAAATTAACATTTTAAAAATGTGTTGTATGTTCATCATTTGATGCATTCTTTGACCTACAGAGCCACTCTGTGGTGATTTGAGGTACAACATCCAAATTGATCATGAACGTCCCACTAATCAGCTAACTAAACAGCAGCAGAAGTGGTTAAATTCCCTAAAAATGTATCTGGCAGCAATAACATTCACCCAATTACTATTTTTCCCTCAAACTGAGTTATGTGTGTGATATTGATATTCACAGCCAACAGGTCTTAAGCCTTCACTAATTAGGGTTGACCATCAAATAAAAAAGCTGCAGTGCGTTTGTGTGCAAGATATCTTGTTTCTCAGCAAGTGTGAAATGAGGAGGGGGCAGGGGATGATGCTGACCTTCACAATCCACAGAGCCTGTAATTAGTTGTGTCCCTGCCGTAAGCAGGCTGCCTTCTTTCTTCACTTAAAAGGAAACTAACACAATCGCTCGCCTGAAAGGACGGGATGCTGGTAGCATTTCTGTGCCATATAAAGGTCACCCTGCAAAACACAAGCAGTAAAAGTGGAGAAATTGGGAGATAATTAAGGAAACTGTTGTAATTAAGAGTGAGGAAGAGGGGACTTAGCAGGTTTCAGCAATGGTGTCGGTGTGACTCAGCACTAACTGTCCCTGGAGTCATCCTCACAGACATGATAAAAAGAAGAAGTATTTGGGTTTGGTCAAGTTGTGTTTGTTTTGGGTGTTTTTGGTGGGGGGAGAACTACAATGATTTACAGAGAATAACCGTTCCACATTCATTAAGTGACAAGTGACAAACGGTAATTTGGCAAACCTTACAGTAGCTGCCTTGAACAGTTCCCCTCTTGCATTCAGGGCAGATATTTGACAGCACTGCTAATACTGTTGCTGTCCACCCAATCGATTGTTTTTCACCTGAGCTGTGAATATCAGCATCTCCTCCAGAGTTAGCACTGGCACCTTAGCTGTCTGTCTATACAGAGCTCGTTTTGCCCAGCCTTTTAGTTTATATGGTGGACTTCCATGTCCCTAGATGTCTACATTTGAAGCAAAGGCTTTCCATTTCCACATGACAAGTTCAACAGGGCTGAGTGAGACGTTAGACGCTTGAGGTATTACTTTAAAATCTAACTCTCTTTTATACTTCACAGCTTCTCCCTGAGCTGAGCTGTCTGCTGTCTCCCTTGATTTTAATGATGTTGTTTCTTTAACATACTCCTGAGGCCTTCACAGATCGGCTGTTTTTATATCAAATTAAATCACACACTGGGAAACTCTATTCGTTTATGATGGCAATTTGAGTGGACTAGCCATTCTTAAGTGGATCAGGGAATTGTGTGGTGAATGCATATAAATACTTTTAGGATTTCCATTTCTAACTGATGTTAGAGGTTGTTTTTGGGCTCAATGTGAAAAATATTCAATAAGCATGAACACTTTTGAAAATGACTAAATATCTAAACTAATTTAAACTTCCATGGCAAACATGATTAGTTGATAACTGTGAGTTCAGGGCCTTTACTCCTTATGAGAGACACTTAATCATGTGGTACCACCGAAGGAGTGAGAGTCCTTGAGAATGGCACTGACTATGAAAATGTTTCACATCTACACTGTGAATAGATGAGATCTCACCCAAACTGATATGTTTGTGTTGACAGTTTCTGACAGTTTAAGTGCTATGTGTGTATCAGTGTACTCTGTATCACTCAAACAGAAGCTGTTTTGTTGCATTGAGCCAAATATGAGTCCTTGTCTTGGGTATATTCTGTCAGAGGGAAGAAATGAGCAAAACATCTTCAACCAGACCCCTCCTCCATGATGTAGGCTGGCGAGCATGCGTCGGGGTGAGGGAACATGTGTTATACCTCTGAAATGACAGTGTAATTAACCTCTCATGGTGGAGGAAGGGGGATTCAGGGCAAAACCCTGTGTACCTGTGGATCCCCGATGATTACGGTTGCCGGCGGACACTGGATCAACCCAGAGCATCACCAAGGCAACAAGGAAGGCCACCTGCCAAGGCCATGCTGACCTTCCCCTCAGCTTCATCCTGAGAGAGAGGGGGTCGGGGGCAAAGAGGGTAAAAAGGAGAGTATGAGAAATTGAAGAAAAGCCTAGAAAACAACACAAATGCAGCTTTTCTCAACAATGTTAGAGGTTAGCTGGCAAAGGTCAGAAGAAGAAAATACAAACTTAAAAACAGACGTGACCTGAGGAAACCCTTGTTTCAACCTTACACGTCTACAGCGGCTGTCAAAGAATGTTCAGCTAAACAATCAGCATTGGCATTTCTTTGGGGTTTTTGTTTTCAAGTCATGTTGGGGTAAAATTTTCAGATCTACTTGTGGGAGTGATATAGTTAAAATAAAATGTCCCTGGTCATTGAAAGAAAAACCCACATAAGTAATACTACACAGTCACTGTTATTTTTACTAAAATAAGTATTTTTTATGAATAAATGACAAGGTAACCGAGTTTGTTTTTATTTCCTTTTCTTTGTTTTGTTTATTTTAATGCATGTCCTAAATTAATTAATGTTCTGTGAAGACCTCAGAGGTTTGTTAGAGAACATTAAGGGTCTAATGAAGATCCAGGAGCACAAAGAAGAGGTCAGAGGAAAAGTGCATGAAAAAGTGTCTTAGGTTATATCTAACGGTTTCGACATTTCTTAGAGCACTGTTCAATCCATCATTTGAAAATCCCATGAGTCAGGTACAACTACAAACCTATCAAGACGTGACCATCCACCAGTAATTGAGTACATTAATTAAAGAAGCATTTTAAAACTGAAGGAGCTCACATTGAGCAGGAGCCCCCAACCACTCGGTAGCAAGTCAATATTTGGTCATGGGTCTATTGGTTAAGACCCATGATGTCCAAATTTTATGATTTCCTTATTGTTGACCTGTATTGAAACCTAAAATACTTTGGAACAGTAAAGAAAATATGTCAAAACACAAGCTGAATCAGATAAAACAAAAATTTTCTCCCACTAGCAACATAGAAAACATATAACTCTTGAGTGTACGTTTTTTAAATAGTATGTAAATAAAAGCAAATAAACTATATTTTTCAAACCCAATATCTCGTTTAAAACGCCTTATATTTTCTTTTTAGTGATACTTATCTCATTGTCCATTCGCAAATTTTAAATACAAATGCCAGGCAAATGATTAATTCTAGGCCTAACCAAAAAACAGAGGAAACCATGTTAGAGGCAACAGAATGCAGCGCTGAGGTTCATCTTCCAGACGGAGGTCAACCCTAAACACACATCTGGAACAACAATGGAACAATAAGGATCAATGTCTCTGCCATCATATGGCCCAGTCAAAGTTCATAATCAAACCCAGCTAAGAACCTGTAGCAAGACGATTAGGATTAATATTCCCACATTGAATTTACATCCATTATGACTGTGCTTCAGCTGTTACACAAAGAACAATGGGCAGACATTTATAGAGTAGTTCTAACACGGTTATAGCTATTTTAACAGCGTTTGCAGATGAATCAACAACCAGAGACAAAGTAGATCAACATAAACATGTGTTAGAGTTCCACATGATTTCATCTTACCTGTCTGTCTTCTATCTTCCGCTACGCAGGATCTCACGAGGTAAAACTCATGGTGGCTCTTCTTCACCTTAAACACGAAGAACACTCTGGAGAAAGAAAAGCACAAAGACGCCTTGTCAGAAAGACCAGTCTGCCCTGGGGTCCTCTCTGGCCTTCAGTGGCCTTGCACTCAGGTCTACGCACTCCTACACAAGCAACACAACATGCACAAATTCATGGACACATACAAGGTTGAAGATGTGAAGGTCTAGATTCTGTCAGATCTATTGTTTACAGTGGGTTCACCTACCCCCAGGCTATATGTGATCCCCACTCTAAACATCACACAAAGCCCCCCTCGTCCCGTGCTCCGACTCCCACTGTCTGTCATGGACACATACACAGCTTCTTCAACAGACTCACTCACAGCTACACAGATGGACACATAAAGCAACATGCATAATAAACCCCAAAATGAACTGATTCCAAAATATTTGTATATAAAAAGGAACACAGCAGAGGGGCCTATTAGCTGAAACATTTAACAGCTGATCAAATATGCCATAGGAGTGACGACACACACACACAAGCACACTAAATTTGCACAGTATTTGCAAGGTAAATTCAAAGCCTGTCAGAGGACAGCAGGAGAGACTCTTCCTAATTACAGCTGAGTGACAGCCTCTGATGCAAGTGTACTTTCATACACACACACACACACACACACACCTTGTGCATGTAGCACACAAATACACACCCAAGGTAAATTACCATCCTGCTATAATAGTGTGTCAACACACCACCTCTTTACAAAGAAAAAAAAAACCTCTGCAGTTATTATAAAAAGACAACAGAGTGACATTAATAACAAAATGTTCTCCACTCCTTAAACCTTCATCAATCATCAGGTTTTATTGATATGTAACTCACCCCCATGATTATTCCTTCTGGAGAAGTTTCTCCAAAAGGAACAAAGACTGACAACTTAAATCACCCTCAAATATTAATGTGGTGCCACTGCCCCCTGGCGGTAGAGAATGTAACAGCAAGAACAGAAATGCTTGTAGAAAAGAAACCTGGTTTAAAACAGAGAAGAAACTAACAGGGCAGTCAAATATTATACCCTAAAAGTTCAAATGAAGCAATAAAGACAAAGAAGAGACAAAAGTCTCGCACAAAAAATGAGAAATGATTTTATTTTATTTTATTTAATAAAAGATAAGGAAGGAACTGGCAAATTATTCAGGTAAAAGTTAGAAGAATTAATTAAATATGATTCCCACAATCGTACAAAACACAGAAAAATCTGCATATTTGCAGCTTTTAGGGTCTCTGTTTACAAATGTAACTGGTATATTTGTGTTTAACTGTGCAATTCCTGTACAGTATTTGAAAGTATGCAAGGTGCATGAGCTGTGAGAAGTGATTAAGTATGCTGCATGGCTGCACAGAGGCCTATTTCTTATTCCCTTTTGAAAGCCTGAGCCAGGGCATGCATTTTTATCAGCTTTGTTCTGTGATACACTCATTAAAGTAGCACAGCCGTGCATGCATGCATGTGTGTGTGTGTTGTGGGGACGGCAGAGGGTGTAGAGGCTGCTTATTGGGAGTGCAGAGAGAAAATGTCCCATCGTGGGAAAAAAATGCATATATTGTACAAAATCTAGATAGTGGTTTTATATTAAAGCAAACTTTTATAGAAAGGAATCATAGAAGATTTCTGCTTATATTCAGGGTATAGAGAAATCGGCCAAAGAAATAAGTGAACTAAGCTTTGAGATTGGTCCCCTATGTATATAGATGTAATATTTTTAATATTAACATATTACTGATTAGATCTAAAACAAAAAAGCTTTTTTCTCATTTAAGATCTTACATGTCATTCAATAGGGACAGACAAGGACAACCTTTGAGTCCAGCCCTTTTTTTGCACTGTAGTTTTCCCACCATCTTACATAGTCCAGCCACCCAGACACCAGAAGTAAGAAAAAAAACTACTTAAAGGTTCGATCCCAATTTGTTTCATCTAAACAGGTAGTTTAATCTTGAAAATGCATATAAGAGTAGTTTTTCTCATTAAAAAAACTAAAGTAAAATTAAAATTCCCTTCTTACCAACAATCTAGTAACTCCACAATACACCACAGCAAATTACTTTTCAGTATAATGGAGTGATTAATCCTTTATAATAGAATTGCAAGCTGCTTTGTGTGGTGAAATACTAATGAAATAGTTTCTCTGGGCCACCCACCTGTTTGAGATAAAAACAATTTAGTTTTTTTCCTTATGACTAAGCAACATTTTCATTGCAAAGTGTGCAAATATGCCCAATAACTGTAAGGATGAGAATAATAAAAGTGGTAAGATGGAGGTAGAGCGTATATAAAGTCCATGATAAGAGAAACTGTCAGTACTTTGATAGGAGGGGTCTTAACACAACACAATGCCAACTAAATTCAACATCACTGCCTGAACTCAACACACCATCTTCAGTCTTGTAATCACAAACAAATTGGCGCACAGCCACTTGCTTATGTATGCTTTTTACTTCTGAGTGGAAAAGTGCCACGATATTCTTTTTGTTGTTGAATTGTTATGCTGCATAAGAAAACAACTTTGTGCTTATCTCCCATGGAGGACACATTGCAAGGGGATTACCAGTAAACTATTTACATTTTACAGCATTAAGTAGTCAATCTAACACATGTTGACATAAAAAAATTGTAAAGATCTTTTTAAAAAAATCAAACTTGGGCTTTTTTTTTTAAGAGCTATCTGCATTCTGTAAGGTCACTAAAAGCTTCCTATTTGAAAGGAAAGGAAACCAAGGAGCTGAGGTACCTGTTTTTAGGTAGAAATCCTCTAATTCTAAGTAATTCTAAGTCTTATTCTAAATGCCTTGGACCTTCTCAGACCAACATACAACCTTTTATAGTTTTTTTCTGTTTCAAAGAAGAGTGTTTTGGGGGAAGCTCAGCTGTCCTGACTTTGGGCAAAAAAAAAAAAAAAATACCTAAAACACTCCAGCACACTGAGCACAAACATTTGCAGGATTATCTGAGCACATCAAGTCTCACCCCATCTAAAATTATCCCTCCTGCTACATCACCCTCTCCATCTCTTCTCACTGCACGTCTCAGAGGGCTGAGAGGCTGAGCTGTGTCATTTCTCCGAGTAATCGCGCAGGACTGACACGTCGGCTCATTGGCATGCAACGAGGCAGATCTACCTCCTCCACAAATATACATCCGTGTGCCCCCCATCCGAACGACCCCCCCAACCCCCAAACAGACGCACGCACACATGAATTTGCTAAATTACTGCTGCGGATACAGGCTGTGACCTCATCTGCCGCATCAAGAAGCAGGTTTACTAAACACTTTCTGCCTGATGTGGTTGTCACTGGCCTCGCACCGTTTGTCAGTCACATAGATAATGTCAGGACGGGACAGGAAGTTTCTGTTTAGCAGGGCTGTTGGCAACAGGAAGCACATCATTATTGGATAACCTCAGTGGAACCCAGTTTTAGAAAATATTCTCATTCAGATCTAAACATAAAGCTTTTTTCCTATTTCTCTCTCTTTGCTTTTCAGGTTCCCAGACAGTCTTAGATACATATTATAAATGACTTTAACTGAGAAAAAACTATTGAAGCTTTTAATTTTTGTAATTTAAGGGATAAGGATTTAAAAAACCTTTACTATTGTATTAAATTATTTTCAAAAAAGTGTTCAATTTGAACCTCCCTGAATATAAGTTTAAATTTCTAGGAATGCTCTTTATTTTGAAGGTATTTTACAGCAATAATGTTGACTAGATTTAATAAGAATTGAAATCCAGTTTGGTAAAATAAAGCAAAAGAATAAAATCTCAGGTTATGTGTGTTCAAAAAGAAGGAATGTGCATTAGTCTGAGGACCACACACACACACACACACACACACATCCACACACTCATTCTAGACACTATCTTCCCTGTTCTGATTTTCTTTGCCCAGACACAAACCAAGCAGACAAAGAAAAAAAAATCCTATCAGTGTAAAACAAAGTGTCTCTCCCTAAGGCGGAAAGATATTTAAAATGAAACGGGCAAAAGCACAAAGCTCAGTGGGATCTCAAGTGAAGCGTTGCAGATTTCCACCGATATGCACAGTATTAACATTCAGTGTAATGTGCATCTACTTGCCCGCTCCCATGCGCGCACTCATTACAAAATGTTGCTCCTTGCTGTTTCTTTTGGGTCGCTGGGTGCATGGAGCGGGTGCGTGTAAATATATACACACAGTAAATTGCACAGGCACAATTTACAAACTTGGACACCATAGTATTCATGAGGCATGGCTCCTTGCATTTATCTGTCCCCTAATGGTCAGGTTGCTGTTTCTTCTTGCTCAAGTTCACATCAGTGTTTATACTTTGCAAACCTCCAGGTTCCCCGTCTCACTTTATTAATGCAAAGATAAATTGTAGCTTTCTATGTACCAGAACACTCTTATCATATTTGAATTTTTCCCGTCTTCAGACAAAGAAAGATTGCAAAAAAAAAACATACCCTGCAACGTATAATCCCTCTGATTAAGGTGGAGAAGGTGTAAAAGCTCACAGACATACCACAATACCAAATCTATGCAGCTGTGTTTATTCCAACAAGATCACAAGCCAATAAGTGGAAGTTTATACCAGTTTGCTGAGATGGTCTGACAGGGAAAAAAACAAGGAAGGAAAGTTGTGAGTGAACGTTTGAATTCAGGACCATTACCTGGCTGTGGTATTGACTGCAGAGTTCAGAGAATGGCACTGGCACTAAGGTACCATTACAGCTCGATTGATCTGCCTGCACTTAAGTCTAAATCCCACCTTGTTGCACAAGCCATCGTTTCAGGATACGGTGATGAAGAAATATGTGTGTCTGAGTGTTTTTAGATTTAGACTAACATGTTAGATGGAGCTTTATAAATTCTTTGGAGTTTTTTAAGGGTTTTTTTTGTTGTTGTCGTTTTCACGTCCAGCCCCCCATTTATACATTCAATCAACTTCTATACTTCTTTCTTTCTCAGCTTTCATCTTCTTTTTTTCCCTCTCCTTCAATTCTTTTTATTTTCTGGCATG